TGCAGTCCGGGGTGGTTTGGGTCAACTCTCACTTCGATGTTCAACCCAATGCGCCTTTCGGAGGACACAAGCAGAGTGGTCTTGGGGTCGAGTGGGGTTTGTCTGGGCTGCTTGGGTACTGCAACTCGCAGACCCAGTGGCTGAAGAAGGGATTCTAAGTTTAGCGCATCCCCGGTGGTTACTTTCAATTACACCATCACCGACTTTTTTATTTCGCAACTTTGAACAAATTTATCAAAGCAACCCTTCCGCTTTTCCATAATCTCTTCTAGCGGTAACGTTGCCTTGAATTTCTCTTGGCCAGTGGACTCAAATTCCTACGGTCGGGTGCAACCAGCATTCCTTGACATCATTGCTAATGCTACAGACAGTATAAAACTGCGTAAGATTACGCTAGCGGCAAAGAAAAATTTAGTGGAATTTGATGGATGCCGAAAGTGATGATGCTGAGAGGACCGCCCAACATGCTAGCTAACTGGAGGCTTCCAGAACATTACATAAGTAGGATCAAGTCGTACAAATTTCTCTCATCGTGACGTGATATTCAGGATGTAGAATAAATTTGAGTCCGCTTCAGCGCCGCGCGACCACGGCGATCAGGGCACACTCAATAAACAGGGTGAGACCAGGCGACGATCGTCTTCTGTTGGGCGACAACTGCATTGACCCCGCAGCTCAATATGACTTATTGTCATTGGATCGCTCCGATCACCTGAGACGCGGGTTTCTTAGCGCCTGCACGCCTTCGCCAAAGAGCAGCAAGAAAGTCGATTCCTACCAATGGACGGGCTGATTTGAGATTGTGATGTTATACCCACTGAAGGTCAACTCCCCCAAACCTTAGAAGACATACATACTATGCATAGTTCTTTCTCCAACGAAAGCAGAACTTCATGGGACGGAACGGTCACATAGAGCGTGATATTAGTACATTTTCTGAACAGTAAATTGGAGCCGCTGTACACCACATTCAATTTATTGCCTCGTACCGCATATACCCAGCAAAGATCTCGTGTAACCCCTGGTTGTGTAAGCAATTAGCTGTTTTGGCTCTACAAGTAACACTAGCGGGAACTAATGCAAGCCAAGCTGGCTCCAATCCACTGGCCAGACACTGTATATTATTGTGATTTCGACTAGATAATGTGGTCTAGATTGGAGCACCGGCATGGATGTTTATGGCCGGAGAGTGTACCTTCATTTATTAGATGAATTCCTATTTGCCTCGTGGGAGTATGCAATCAAGTTTCTCCATTCCCCATGTTTCATATTACTAGTTAGTATTCTTCTACTATGACTTCTTTAAGTTACTAGGACTGAGGATTGTGGGCTGATGTATGTGACTGTAAACCTTAGAAGCTGCATGCATATTCAAACTGAAACCGCGTGTGTCATGGCGCATCTGCTACAGGAATATGTTTTGACAGGTACCCTGCTTGCTACTACTCAATCTGAGATGCAGAATATCGCTGCAGTGTAATTCATTACCAAATCTGATCCAGCTGTTGCCTCATTAGAGGGGTTCCTTTTTACCGGGTGGATATCACTACAGTGTGAACATTGGCGAACTCCTGCTTGAGCAGGGTTCCGTTGTTTGCAGGCAAACAGCAGCCTTTCGGCGGCTGATGATGTAGGCCTCAAAGAATCACTAACAATAAGTTTGCCATTACATGTAAGCCACACAGCGGTCATTTAGTATTAAGGTGGGTGACCATATGCGAATCCGGACTGTTGTACTCCGTATGTGTTTTATCTTTTTATTTCCTTATAGAATTGTAACTTAACAGTAGTCCGCATCATTTGCCAATTCAGTGTATTCCTGAATCATCATGTATAGACGATATGTGGTGTTACCTTAGACCAGGAGACTCCAAGACCACTATTGTGAGACTGTTTATGATGCATATGATTATTTGACTGGTAATGAGAGGGCTATGCTCAAGGCAACTGCCTTCAACTGGAAACAATTGGTGGTAGCTTGAAGCTGAATATGCAGAGGAAATTCTCAAATATCTTCTGCAGTGTGACATGACATGTATGCTCCTCGGGTAAGTTCTCCTGATATTTTATAAGTCGGAATATCTTGCCTCAGTATAGTTGTACATGCATGCCGAGGGCAATATCTCAGCACAGCAATCACAAGGGCATGGAACAGGTACATTATTTTTTAACTGGCAATGACTTCATTCTACCCAAAGCCGGCAACCCCAAGTGGCGATAACCGATTCCAGCTTGAAGCTGCAGTGTGACACACTGCGCGTCGGGGCACAATGTAGGTAATCCTGCCACTTTTTGATCGACCGCGCATAGAGTCAGGGACTGAAGAACTTGAGAACCCTTTAACTTAGCATTTACTTGAATTGAGAAATAAAATTATAAATACGGCTTCGATTCCTTCCCCAATCCTTCAGCAACCACAATCATTTTGCAACACCTACTGCGACAAATAAACCGTCGAAATCACATCTCATACAATATGTCGTCCGCATTTAACAATGACCGCATCCGAAATCATGATGACAAGGAATTGCTGGCGCGCATTAATGAGTACTTCGGAGCTTTCGCCAATGCCGATGCCCAAAAAATGAACAGTATGGTGGCTGATGATTATCACATGACCGACATCCGTAAGAGCTCATTTCCCTTCACCCTTCTCAATTACCAGTCTAATACTTTATTTTCATATAGCCCTCGGTATTGTTAGGGCATCTAAAGAGGCTTGGTTTCAACAGAACGTGGGATTCAGCAGTCTTATGACGGGTATCTCAGTCGAGGCCATTTCGCTCCACGGCAGTTGCGAGCCCGGCTCGTTTGCGGTCATGGAAAACGTGGTACGGTTCACATTGAAGGTTGATCCTCCCGAGGCAGCCAAGCCCAACCTTCCTCCCGGAATCAAGAAGGGCGATTCCTCGGGTATGATCATGTGCTCTACGATATGGTGGAACAGTGATGGAAAAATTGCCCGCGAACTTGAGTATGGAAAGCTGCTGTGGGAGGGCTTTGATATCAATGACTTCAACACATTTTAAGAGGAACAAGCATGCGAACTCCCTGATGGATTTTGAGAAGTCACTTGAATACAGATAGGCCATTGGGGGAGATATGATAGCATGGAACACAGTCATTACATTAGTCGCAGAACCGTGGGAACGGCATCAACAATTATCATGTTTGGCCGGACCGGCTTTTTTTTTCGGTTGAAGATTTTCGCACTCGTAATGGATCAAAGCTAGTATCCATCACTGTATTGAATCTATAATCAGAAAACCAGTGAGTATTCACACTTTAGAAATGAAGTGTAGTTTTGGGCTGCGCAGAAGTGGTGATTGAAGAAGGAAGCTCGGGCGGGTGCTCTCCCAGCGTACACCCATCAGCTTTAAGATGTAATGGACTTTACTAAGGTACAGGCGAGAGACCGATGACTAGGTATGATTTTTATTATTTTTTTACTATATTATTGGTTTTACTATAATATGTAGGAGAGTATTATAAGCCTAGGGCTCCTATAGATAGTTCTACTACGTAGCTTCATCCGATCATCTTATCTATCGCACTATGACGTCCATCCTATAGTAGTAATAATGACCTCTCAGCATATACTCGTAGCTTCAAGCTTGTCGGTCAGAAGGTTGACATGACATCACCTCCACTTGATATGTCTGCCCTATCGAATTCCATATCAGCCATACAATACATAGCAGTAACTGAACCCCTGCAAGGCATGACGATTTCAGGCGCATGCCATATATAAATCTGATCCTGATAGGACAGTTCCATCCTGCTCCCACCCTGCAGAGGCGACTTAGCGCCGATCCTTTCACGGATGACGTGCCGGTCTTAGCGCCACCAAATTCAGGACCTGTCACCTCCATTCTAGAAAATGATATGCCACTTGGCATACGTTGTGATGCTATCATGCTGGCCAATTTAGGTCGCAGCCGTTTGTTTCATTTTTGTATAAATTGGGATTAAATTCCACTTGATGGTTACCCCATCCAAAATACCACACTTGAACATCCATACCAAGACATTGCGACCGTTATCTATACAAATCATTCCAACCTTGAATACTCTTTTTACATATTCTCAATCATCCTTCACAATGTTCCATCGTCGTCGCCCAGCCACAACTACCACCCGTTCCTCCAAGCCTAGTCTTATGACTCGTCTCCGCGGCCCTAATGCGAAAAGCAAGACCGTGAAAACAAAGACTACAACAACTCGCCATGGTCCTTCCACACATCACGGTCATTCCACACACCATGGTCCTTCCGCACATAACACCACCAGCCGTCGCTGGGGTGTTTCCAGACCTCAGCATCATCATCGCCGGAAGGTGACATTCGGCGACAAAGTTTCCGGTGCGATGTTGAAATTGAAGGGTAGCTTGACCCATCGCCCCGGCGTGAAGGTATGTCTATGACAATTTTAGTACTCTTGACACTTTTTGAGTCTCGTCTCTAATCATCTTTCATTTTTCTAGGCCGCTGGCACTCGACGTATGCATGGTACTGATGGTCGCGGAAGTCATCACCATCATGGTGTCTATTAAATATATATTTCTGACGAGCCTTGACGAGCTATGAAATTGTGTATTATTATTTTATTACTACTGGATGCGTTCAGCCAGGGAAATAACTTGAACAAGATAATTTATCAACTTGTCTCCAAAGCATTAATCTGAATCGTAATAAAACCAACTCTTACCACATCAAGATCAAAAAATAATGGCGGTGAAGTCTTCAAGTTAATTTCGCCCGAAGCCTGTCTTGGCGAAGGCTTTCAATTATTGCGTCAATCGACTCCATTGTGGCTTGACAAACAAGGCTAAGATCGCCCGCGTGCGACCGACCACACTTCTCAACTGCACCGACGCCCACGCGGCGATCAATCACTGTTGAAAAGCGGCATCCCTACTCCGTATAGGCTTCGAAAATCAAGCTGAGCTCTGCATCCTAGATATTCGTTTGGAATGTGATGTGAGAGGCTGGTGGTGGATTATGACTGCCCGGCCCGAGACCGTGCTGGACATTCTCACGGCCGATTATTGGAATGCCAGAAATGGCGATAACAAAATCCTTTTTCGCACAGAGGGTACCGGAGAAGTAAGTCGCTGCCATGCTATTATTGACATTTGTTTTTTTTTCTCATACCCGCAGTTATGGCATTATATCGAGCAAACGCCCTTCGCAGCCGAATTCAACTGGCAAGCGCTGGACCCGGCATGTCTCGATGAGAAATCGACCAAACGGAGAAAAAGAGTGTCAAAGCTCACGATTGAGATAAACATTAAGAACAGGAATGAACTGGAAGAATCCGTATCGTCGGATCACGGCGCCGGTCGGATATTGAACGAGCGTCAGCTTCATGACGTAGCGTTTGCTTCGAAGACCTTTTCTGTTCATCTTGAGAGAGTCATATCAAAGAAAACCAGTGACGGCGGTCACACCTTATACACTTATCGCGTCCTTTTCGATAAATCGCCGTATCCACCTACAGACGAATGGAGAGAGCCTGTATTTGGACGGAAATGTTGGGAAAAGCATGAATTCGTGAGTATCAAGGCCAAACCCGGGTATTCTGGAATATGGATGAGCATTAGATATCATCTCAGGTAAGTCTTCCAATAAACCCCAATGCCTCCAGATTTTTCTACGTGGGAGACCAGGCAGGAGATGTATTTGGCTCGGCTGTTCCTCGGAAGTCTCGCCCCCTACATCATTCTCCCTCTGTTTTCAGACGGCGAACTGTTTCGGCGGACAAGGCTGGGCTGATCTGGTCCTCTTTCCCCCAAGTTTAGGTCGCACATTTGCACATATATCATGTCCGTGTTTATGGTGTTGCTGGTCATTGCCGGCGTCGTGGCCGGAGTTCTCACTTCTTCGCACCCGCTGCCCAAATCAGCTATTGTTGACCTGGGGTACGCGCGTTATCAAGGGAGCTCATTATACAATGACGTGGATCAGTATCTGGGCATGCGATTTGCGAAGCCACCCCTAGATGACCTTCGATTTAGAGCGCCAGAAGACCCGGAAGACTCTTCCGATGTGCAAGATGCATCCGAAGTAAGATATTACCTTGCTATCTCTTTTTTTTCACACCTCGTCATTGTTCATGCACATGTTTGCTAACTGAGGGGTAGGTTGGCCCCATTTGCATCGGAGTAGGACAGTCGGTCAGTGAATCAAAAGCCGAGGATTGCTTGTTCATCAACGTCTTCAAGCCTAAGCATGCGTTGTCAAATTCGAGTCTGCCCGTGTGGTTCTTCATTCAAGGAGGCGGATATGCAGACAACGCCAACGCCAATTTTAACGGTAGTGAGGTCGTGGAGAACTCTGGGCAGGATATCGTCTTCGTGAATTTCAATTATCGCGTCGGCGTCCTCGGATTTCTTGCTAGTGAGGAGGTCCGTCAGAATGGCGATCTCAACGCCGGTCTGCTTGACCAGCGGAAAGCACTTCTCTGGGTGCAGAAGTATATTCACCTCTTTGGTGGAAACCCCGATCATGTGGTTATCCATGGTGATTCCGCCGGTGCTGGTTCAGTTGCGCTTCATCTAGCTGCATACGGTGGTGAGAACAAGAATCTATTCGTTGGCGCGGTGGCCGAATCCACCTTCTGGCCAACACAGCGAACGGTCGCAGATATGGAATTTCAGTATGAGCGCCTTGCGAAGCAGCTCGACTGTGATCATTCAGATGATGTTCTTTCTTGTCTCCGATCGGCCGATATCAACAGCATTCAGAAATACGACGCCGCATCGCCATTTCCTAACGGAAGCGACACCCCGGTACCACTATGGTATTTCTTGCCTGTGTACGATGGCGCCCTTGTCAGTGATCTCTTGTATAGCTCTTTTGAGCAGGGCAAAATTATCCATGTTCCACTCATCGTTACGGATGATACCAACGAAGGGACGGACTTTGCGTACAATGCGACCAGTGCAAACGAAGTATCACAGTTCATGAAGAACAATTACCCGAAACTCAATGACACTCAACTAAAAGAAATCAATAAGGCTTACCCATTGATGGATCCTCTTCCTAAACATGCTGCTTATTTCCCCTCTGCCGCTGCTGCATATGGCGAGTCGACCTTCATATGCCCTGGGAATATGATGACAGCTAGCATGTCGAAACATTTCTCACCTGATAAGGTCTGGAACTATCGTTTCAATGTGCGAGATAAGACGGAGATCAGCCAAGGCAAAGGTGTTCCTCATGTCCTCGATCTACCTGCTATCTTCGGCCTGGGACAAACCAGTGCGCCTTCTTTATCTTTCGCAAACACCAACTCGAAAATCGTCCCCATCACCATGGACTACTACCTTAGCTTTATTAAGACGCTGAACCCAAACACCTTGAGGAACCAAGATGCGCCCGAGTGGGATAATTGGGGAATTGGCACCGGACAAAGGTTGAAGCTCCAGACCAACAAAACTGAGATGGAAAGTGTTCCTAAGTTACAGATCGAAAGATGCGCGATGTGGAAGAATTTCTCGGATATTCTGGAGCATTAAGAGCGTGACTTGATCATTTAGGGTTTCACAGTCAGTCTTTGTATCACCTTGGTGACCCTTACCCCAAGGTTGTATAGCAAGCAGGTGTTTTCAAGAACAGCTGTAACTATTATCATTATAATTAATTTTAAATTCACCATATCTGTGCTCAACACGTTCATGCAAAGCTGTAGCATCCTGTTTTCTAAAGTATCCCCTCATCATCTGCATGCTATAGGTCCAGCCCTTCCCCACTCGACCCCGGGAGCCCATCATCGCCCGCTGATTTCATTCCGGACACCTCCGCAGGGCTTCCCCGAGAGGCAGTGACAAAGTGAGGGGTAGTGACGGGGAATCCTCTTTCATTCAAATCTGGGGAAGCTCCACAGCTCCACTTTCATCATGACTTGAGCTCTCCCTGCAATATCATGCTATGAAGCTCTTTTTGTTCCATACATATCTCCAGCATAAGATCTACCTTGGCTTCAAGTTCTGGGTAAACTTTTTGTCAATATGAGACCTAATGATCTACCTCTCTTCCCCACCCTCGCTGTTGAACTCGTTGAACTCATCGCCGATCACGCAGATAGTCAGAGCTTACTCGCACTCCGTCTCGTCTGTCGCGACCTCCAGAAGAAGACATTTCATCACTTCGCACGCAGATTCTTCTCTTCGATAAAAACCGACTTATCAGAGGAAAGTCTTGTTCGAATCGACGCGCTGTCACAAAATGCGGCTTTGCGACCATACGTTCATGGGTTGGCTTTCATGCTTCAGAACGGTGTCGGTCGCGGCCTTATTTGGGATCGTCATCCCTGGGGCCCACTGTCTGCCCCGTTAGAAGTCGATGAAATACGCCGCCTGCGAGATAACTTGGTCAAGTATCTCACCAACTGTCGATCGTTCTATATCTTTTGTCGATACCCAGAGGGTCACCCCGACATGAATCACGTCACCGTCACAGATGCAGTCGCAGTGTTCTTCGCGCTGGTCGTGGATGCCCGACTGCCCGTCTCATCATTTCACCTCATCTACGCAAATAAACACTCACGGACCTTGATTATGGATATGCGGCGAATACCGAAGATGCTCTACCGACAACCACAGTTCAAGATAGTTTGGTCAAATTTGCAGAAACTATCGCTGGAACAATATCTTACGCTGGACAACTTTGGATTTCTGCTTGAGCTGGTACTCAGTGCCCCAAACCTCACGACTCTCCTCTTAAATCTGGGGTCTCAGGATCTGGCGTGTGAGTTCATGCACGAGCTCGCCGAAACAGCCGCATTCCCCAAGTTGCAGGAACTGGCTTTATTCAGGACTTCTATCAGAGTTTCAGATTTGATGAGGATTCTCGATGGGTTGCGGGAGAATCTTACTGCGCTTACATTGTACCATGTGTCCCTCCCGGACAATAACTGGGCTGCCGTTCTAAAGCACCTAAGCCAGGGCTTCACTGCGCTGAAGACAATCTCGCTTTACTATCTATGGGCGACAGAACCGACAAAGGAACTGCTTTCTTTTCCGGATATTCATAAATCACCCACTTTGTCCGACATGCCAGATCGAAGTTTACACACCTTTTATTCGGAGGATCCGAAAAGCCCTTCTGTTCTTGGAATCGAGTATTCCGGTACAAAGATGTCACAAATTCTAAGCTTGCTGCAGAACACAGCTCTACCCACTTGATTTTATTACGAAATTAACGACCGCACTGAATTGAGTTCGTAGGAGTTAGTGGGGAATTCACTTTGATCACCCATGATACTTTAACCTTATTCCCGTCCTTTGCTTTCCCTTTTTTATTCATCGCCCTTCGGTTGATAAGAGATCTACGAAGAAAATAAGGCCAATACGTGTATTCGTGTATTTCATCTTGCCTGGTGGTCTGCTCGGTAGTTAGTATGACTCGTATGCGAGTGAAAGATACATCGGGTAAAAGACACATTTCAGTCAGGGATTTTCTTGTTTTCATCCGAGTCTTTTAGGGTCCGACTCTTCGCAAAAATCCGCCCTAGCATACGTAGCTCGGTTTAAATCCCTGCTAGGCTCCTGTCTTTTGTCCGAGTAATACATTGTTCTGCAAGAGGGGTGGAGCATAGTAGCATGACTATAATTTCGGCCCGCTTCCTGTGAAATCCGGCCAATAACCTTGGAACCTCTTATGAAACTCCAAACTAGTTCTGGAACTAGATCCTTAGTCCTTTTGTTTCAACAAATTTCAAACAACCTCTCGGCTTGGTCTGGGCGTTGGCAGGCGTTGGCAAATGCGCCCAGCCGAGCCTAGTTTTAGCTTTAGTTTTAGGGCCCCTCCCCCCTGCTGCCCGGCCGCCCTCCCGTCCCGAACTTTGCAATTTGTTTCCTTTCACTCCCCACTGCTACGCAATTCCATTGACTTTCAAAATGGCAGAAGACATCGCTGTAGTACGTGATCATTCCTAGTCACCAATTTGCATCCATATCTTACTCTGTCAGGATCCCGATTACTATGCTCTAAATGAGGGCTATGGTCCAGAAGATTTCAATTCGTGGGTCTAAACCAGAACTATCTGTTGACACTTTCGCCTGACATTCAATTAGTGAGACCACTTCTATTGCTTCGGCAATTTCCAAAGGCAGAATAGAAAATGGTCGAAGGTCAGACTCCGCATTCACGGCATAAAGAATCTTCTATACTGAGCCAAGAGCAGATATCAGGCCATGAAAGAGGATGACTATTGGTAAGTACCATGTTGACACCCCTTGATAAATTGACTAAATTAATATTGACCACATCCCAGGAGTCCTGCTGATGAACAACAATTTGAGTCCTTGGAAAATGGGTAAATCCGTCGTCATAACCCAGTCAGTCCTAGCTCGTGGTAATCGTTATTGACAAGTCCAGGCACATATTGTGTCTAGTTTTGGACCACCAGCAGAAGGACCCGCTGCATCGAGCACCCATCAAGAATCCTAAGGTCGTTATAGCCAATGATATTCATTCAATATATACTGACTCGGCCAACAGCACATCCTCGATATCGGTACGGGTAGGGGATCATGGGCAATGTAGGTCAAAATCAATATATCACAAGGCCAATGACACACATCTAATCATCTTTCCTATAGTGACATGGCAGATTACTATCCGTCAGGTATTAATCATTTATCTGTTCCTCGACATTCTCTTTGCGATTCTGATAAATAACTATAGCAACCGTTCGCGGTGTTGATATCTTTCCTCCGCCTGTCTCTTGGATGCCCCCCAATTGCGTCTTTGAAGTCGACGATATCCTCCGCGAATGGACGTGGAGAGAACCATTCGATTATATTCATCTTCGTATTCTCCTAGGTGCGTTTGATGACGCCGGCTGGTCCTTGGCATATGATCGCTGCTACAAGTAAGTTCAATCTCCATCACAACTTCCTAAAAATACTACCTGGGCAGTATATACTGACATAATTAGCAGAGGTCTTAATCCTGGCGGCTGGATTGAGCAACTGGAGTTTGATATCAATCTACAAAGCGAAGATGGATCTCTAAAGCCAGAACATCATCTTTCCAGCTGGGGCAAAAACATGATTGCGTGCGGTGAGCGAGCTGGCCGCCCACTTACCACTCAGAAAACCATGAAATCTGCTATTGAGAAGGCAGGTTTTGTTGATGTACACGAGCACGTATACAAGGTACCCTTGGGTCCATGGGCTAAGAATCAGCTCCTGAAGGAGGCGGGCCGGGTTAACTATCTTGTTTGGACATCTGGTCTGGAAGGCTATGCCATGTGGCTTCTCACTAAATTCGGAGCGCCAGAGCCGTGGACCAAGGAAGAGGTTTATGTTTTTCTTGCTCGTGTCCGGAAGGAGTTGTCGGACCCGAGTATTCACGCATATCAATATGTGTACGTTTTAGTGTCTCATTTTTTGTATTCTAGTGCTAACAAGATACAGTCGACGAGTGTGGGCACGCAAGCCAACGGAGGAAGAGCTGAAAGTGAAGAGAGAAAGTAAGACGCCAGAAGAAGAGATTAAGAGTGAAAAATAGTCGAATTGCCGACATATCTGAACTCAATGATATTTGCACACTTTATACGTTTTTTTGAGCGGTTGGGGCCCCCGCAGAGACAGCTCCGAAGTTAGCGAAGTCGGATAATTCGGTTGAATATAGCATTGTTGCAGATTTGCCATTGTACAACAAATCATGTACTACTAGTAGCTACTGGTGTTGGTACTGTACAAATATCCATAGGCATCTTCAAATCGGACTCTCGTACATGTAAAACATTTAACTTATAATGTATACCTTCTATGCAACGAGATTATGCTGAATTTTGCGCCATTGATCTTATAGCTTTGACCGTAGACCTGATGAGCCAACCGTGGCAGTTGAAGCGATTTCTCGATAGCAAATGCCAGCCCTTTCCCCTCAGATTCGAGTCTAGGAAAATTGTGGCCTGCAGTGTGCTCAAATAAAGCCCTCCCCCGGGGCCCACAAAAAGACCCAGTCAGGAATGCACATCGATCTAGAACAGCGGAATCATCAAGGGAACGAACATGCAGAGTCGGGGTCTTCAAACGCGGCGTGTACCATTCTGGTCGCAATCCACACGGGATTTCCAGTGGTTCGCGATCTAAAAAATACTTGCGCGATTGCCGATTTACCTTTTCCATCTCATCAAGAACGCCAACTATCGTCGAGATTGTGGTACGAGCTGAGTCCGGGAGAAGGTCAATTTGTCTTTCGCGGAACGGAGTCTTTTCTGGTTCTCCAAAAAAAGGTTGCCAAAGGCGAATTGACAATATTCAGTATTTGCGGTAAGAGGCGCTACCGGCAAACAGAATACCGCGAACTGAATTGGCAGGGGTTGTTTGGATACTCGGCAATCTGCTCTAGGAGGTAGGCTTGCAAAACAGAAGCTCCTTGACTGAAACCGAGAACCCCATCAAAAGGGCCTTGCTCGGTGAAAGCTTTGTGGACTAAATCATGTGCTAGCCTCATACTGGAAGCTTTGAAGTCTCTCGAGTAGCAAAAATACGGACCAGGGTACTTTGATGACCCTGATTCATGCGCGCGTAATTATTAGTTTCTGGTTGATATAATAATGGATGCCACGGGTACAAAAATCACCTGGCGCTGGAGGACATTCCTTGTTTCCTTGCGGATAGTATAATTCCCATCTGAGATCAGAATATTGCAGAACTTGCGATATCTTTCGCTTCATAATCTCTGAGTTATTCCCAGTCCCATGGAGACAGAGAATTCGCATTTTCGGGATTCTTCTTTCGCTACTGGTGCGTTGTTCAATCAGTACGAGAATAGATTTTGGTTTGCTTGTGTGGGCTTCTCGAATAATCAGTAAAATAATACACATCCCATCCGAAACTGCAAGTACTAGTAGTACTTACTCATCATTTGTGCCTTTGAGGCTGCTAGAATGCACCACGTTTGCAATGCGGAGTTTGTGCAACCCATCTAACATGAACTGTGGGGATTGGAGTATACGTATCGAATCTTGGGCGCGAAGAAATGGCGCTTATTGGATCAAATTAAATCGCCATGCATGTTGCTACATATAGTCACACGCAGATCAACCACTATTTAACTGCTCGGGCACTGCTCGGGGTGATACATTGCTGGAACTCAAAGCTATGTGTCCAAATCATTTGTAAAGCGAAAAAAAAAGCGTCGCTTATTGCCGAGGTTTAGCATTCAAAAGAAGTACAATATAGCATATAAAGTGAAACTCTTCCCTCGATCGCCCAATCATTTCTCTTTGAAGGTTTGCTTCCTTACGTTTCGTCCAGAAAGTTCCAATGTCCATGAGTGTACATCACCTTCCAACTGAAGAGCAAGGTTGATCTTTTCTCGTGGCCACAAGGTGATGTAGTTATCAGACCAAATGACCGGGGCAATTTCATTGCCGTTCGAGTCGATTGCATTCAAGTGCGTGAATACCGCGGGAGTTTTAGACTTATTCTCCAGCTCAACCTCTCTATGAGTCCATCCATTTTGGCTCTTGACTTTGGAACTCTTGACCTTAACTTTGACGGTAGCAGGCGGCAATGATTCCAACTTGGTGAGGTCTGCATATTCAGTCACCGGAGTGTGATACCATGTCGAGTTTGACCAGTCCAATACATCAGGCTTGGGAGAAAGCCAGTATACATTGCGACTAATCTCATGTTTTCCCTTTGCATCTTTCAGGACAACCCGCAGGAATCCCACATCTTTGATCTTGCCGATGCCACTCACCGAGTGAAGTTGTTTCGAAGTGGTAGGCAATGTGTGGGTCTTCAACTTGGTGCTGGAAATCTTTTTGCCATTCGAATCAATTAAATCGATCAAAATCTGACGACCGCCTTTGCTCTTGATAGAATGGTTGATGAGCCAGATACTTTCTGTCTCATAGTCATATGCAACATGCTCCATGCGAGATCCGACCTTCGTGCCAAAATATGAGCCCATTGGATTTAGGTAGTAGTCAAAGAGTTGCCAGTGCAAATTAGGCCATGCACTATTTAACATCCAGTAGATTGCACCGGTCGCAGGGCGAGAAGCATTTTGGTGAGCAGAGTAAGCTTCAAATTGGGCGCGAGTTGCTTCGTAGTCTGCCATTTGGCATTTCACGATGTAGTCTTCCAGACTTTTTGGTTTTCCGTAACGACCGAAAATACCCTTGTTGTATATCTTCCGAGTGTAAAAAGAAGAAATCGAACTTGACATATGGTACAATCCTTCCTCTGGCTCGGTCCAAAGAGTCTCCAATTCGTCATTCGACATGAACCTTTTCAGGGGTCCCATCTCAGGTGTGCCAACGCCCGCGCCCAGCTCAGAGCCAAACCCAAAGCCAGCCCCCAATTTGTCTCCATACCAGTAATTTGGTGGAACCCAGTCATAGGGGCCATCCATTTTCATTCCTGAAGGGCCGAGATCCTCTGGATATCCGCGCTTACTCGCCGATGCAATAATAGGATTGCCCCAATCCATCTTCGCTAAAGCGTTGGTGTACACTTCCGTCGCTCGATCGTTAGGCCAATAATCTGAGCCTACCAAAAATCCAAGCATAGACGGATGTGGTTGCATCATCTCGGCTTCGTGAAGCATTGCTGCACCAGCGATCGGATAGTCGGCATCTTCCCACTTGTATCCTGTGCCGTCGTCATTGTACTAGTAGCAAAACATTAATAAACTTGAATGAGACTATACTTTTTCAATAGATATACTCACCTCCCAGCCTTCCCATTTAGTGCAGCATTCCCAGCCGGCCAGAACCATCATTCCCATCCGGTCAGCTAATTCATAAAGCTCAGGATGCTCCTGTTTTCCTTCCAGTCGTACGGTGTTCAGTCCCATATCAAGCATGTACTGAAAGATAGTCCGAACTCGACCTTCATCGTATCGCAAGAAAATATCTGGCCCATATCCTGCTCCTAGAACTTCGAATGGATATCCGTTCACAGTGAATTTGGTATCATTATGTGAATTGACAGATGAGTGGGCGCTTCTGATTCCAAATCGAAGAGGACGAGAGCGATCCGAAATATTTTGGCTATCGTCATCAAGAAACATGGTAGCATGAGCTGAGTAGAGAGGCTGTGAACCCCAGCTCGCTGGCCACCAGATCTGGGGTTTCTTAACGCCAACCCTGATAGATGCCTTTATTTTTTGATTAGGCAAGAGACGAAAGTTTCGGGCAAATTGTATCGGCTCGCCGCCATTTGGTGGTTCTATAGCGCCGTCGAGGGTGACACGAACGATTTTTGACTCGTGATTGACCAAGTCAGTCGTCAATGTAACATTCACTTCTTCATTTCCGTTTAGATTCATGGCATCCTTGAAGTCGGTATTCACGCGAAATGGAGACATAGATACTGCGCCAGTTTGAGAGATATCGACATTACGCCACACGCCCGTGCCATTATCTGCAGGGTGGGGATTCCAGTCCTCGAAGCTCTGTGCGAAATCCCTGTCATAATTCGTGGGGTATGCGCGGATGAGAAGACAGTTGTTTCCTTCCTGAATGTGAGTTGTTATGTTGTATTTGTGTCCACCGTAGGAGCCTTGCTGCTCCTCCTTGGATGCGACGCGTGCACCATTCATATAAATATCAGCTTTCGAGGTGATCCCGTGAGTGATCAAGTCGAAGTGTTTATCGCCAGATGGGTTTATTGTAAACTCTTCTCGGTACAGCCATGGCTGTCGGAAGATCTCCCTGTCTCCCACGTTCTCCATATTGTCGGAAAAGAACAGATGCGTGTCGTTATACATCCCATTCGCGATGAGACCGGCCATGACTGTTCCACGTGCTGCAACTCGGTACCAGTGACTGGTGTTGAGCCCTGGCTTTGATAGCATAGCCATGTCATCCGAGACGCGCATGACTGACTGGAGATGCCATCCTGGAACAATAGCCGTATCGCCGGCTTTCGAAACCAAAGCATCAGATGCTGTCACTGCACTTAGGCTGCAAAATGTTGCGACAAGGGCTATAAGCCATTGCTGTAGAGGTAAACGCATCCTTGTTCAAGGCCCAACTCGGCCGGGTCCACGTCGACTGGGATACTCGCCTTCTCTTGCGTTGATGTGCAGCTTGAACTCATAAATATTTTCACCGAGTCCCTCTGTGGGGTAAACGAAACTCTCAAAGTTGCACTGCATTGCGATCGGACGGGAGTATTTACAACCGTGGTAGATCGACAGGGTATATCGCAGGTTATGGTTGCACAGTTTTACTTATATTTAGTTAGTAGTGTCTAGCGTGGCGTCGGCGATTCCGGGAAAGCTGGAGGTTTCCCCGGTTGAGCTTGTGATAAACCACGAATTTCCTCTTCGAGGCAGTGGGTGGACTCTTGGCAGAAGCTTTAACTAGGATGCAGTTTGGGTGTCGAGTGGTATTAATGACATATGGTTAAAGCCATGATGAGTCGTTCAATCAAACTATACGTGGGGAAGAGGATTACGAGCCTCGGCATGATGGGCAGGGGTCCTGTACATTTCTTCGCTCTCATGGCAGATATTTAATGAATGGAATAATCTTCGATTCA